TTCTCTGCACCAACTTCCCCAAATGCCATTCGCTTTATGACCATCTTCATTATCCTTTGTCGCGTTCGTTTAGGTCGATTCGACCTAGACTTCTTCCATTATTGCTACGGCCCTTCTAAGCAAGGTCGAGGACTCTATTTGAAGAGTCGCAATGGCGCACACTTCATCAACGATATCCCTTCCAATCTCCCCAAGTGGAGTGAAAGTTTATCTTCGTCCGGCCCGATGCTCCTTTTCCTTGGTTGTCCGTCCCTTGGGTCAAGGAGGTTTCGCGAGAGGCGGCTTCAGCCCCTCCTCCCAACCCTCTGTTCGACCAACGGGTCTTTACTTGGAACTCCAAGTCCGTTGCGTCCGAGAAACTTCTTAAGGATGAAAACCTCCTTCATTATTGTGGTCTTCTCACCCACAAGACTTGTCCTCTCCCAAGTGATGAGATCCTCGATCTTATTTGGATCGAGAATGACCCAGGTAATCTTCGAACAGATTACTTAGATGTTCTAGCACTCCTCTGTGTTTGTCTTAATTATCTCTTGTTGATGTTGGTTTTAATCTTTTATTATTTTCTTGCAGAGGTGCCTAGTTTCAACATTCCTTTGAAGAAAACTCCTCCTAAAAAGAAGAATGGGGTTGCCCCTGGCTCGACCGGAGGCCAAGCTGAGGGATCGGCCACTTCCTCCAGATCTCGACCGGAGCCTCAGCAACGATCGCCTCCGCGAGAGACTCCTCTGCCTCCCCCACCACCGTCGAAGGAACCACAACAACAACAACAACGGCAAAAGCAAAAACAGCAGCAACAGCAGCAGCAAACGCGCCAAACTCCTCCACCTCCTCCCGGAAAAGTTCCTCAGCACCCATCTGCTTCTGCCTCTACCAATCAGACCTCGACTCTCTCGACCACATCCAAAACTGATGATCGCCAAACCAAAACCACTGAGCGCTCACAGAAAACTGACAGTCGCCACCAAAAAACCGACGATCGCCAAAGAACCGACGACCGCCAAAGAACCGATAACCGCCAACGAGCCGACAACTGCCAAAAAACTGACGATTGTCAAAAAACCGACCATCGAGCTCCCCTTGCCAAAGATACTTCCACCAAGTCCACGGGTAAATCCACTGACCTCGTCACCTCGTCCAAAGCCAAAATCCCAGACAAGGCTCCTCTCGACCAATATTCTTCCCAGACCCCCTCCGCCGGTTCAACCAAGGCACTGGTCGAGTCCAGCGGTCGAGATGACACGGGGCGTGAGCTGGCCCTGGGGAAATGCTCGCGTACCGACCAGGGTGATGCGGTCTGGAAAAGGGGGCGGGCCAGCCATTCTTGGCCTGACCCACTGGCTCCAAAATCTACCTCCCTACTGTCGGCCTCCGTAAACGAGGTGGCCGAGCATCTCGAAGGTGCCCTCCTCGAGGACGACCACAAAAAGGCCAGCGCCACTCTGCCCGAGGTTGGCAATAAGCTCATGCAATGGCTTGCTCAGGCATTACTCGTCTCAAACTTTATATTGATTCCTCTCATTTTCCTTTGTCGATACGTGGGTTGAATTATCTCCAAAGTTCTTGCTATGAGATTGAAGCTCTGTCTTGATTGTTGCATCAATTTTAGCCAGTCAGCCTTTATGAAAGGTAGACATTTCTTTGATAATGTGATAATACCCCATGAAGCCTTCCATTTTCTAAGCAGACACAGATTTGGTAAAAATTACTTCATGGCTCTGAAGCTTGATTTAATGAAGGCCTTTGATCGAGATGAATGGGGAAGTATTCATAAAATAATGATAAAGATGGGATTTAGCTCTTAGTTTGTCAAGTTGATCATGTCCTGTCTTACCAGAGCTACCTTCTCTTTTAATGTTAATGGTGCAACTAGGGGTTTTGTGAGGCCATCAAGGAGAATCAGGCAAGGAGACCCCCTGTCTCCTTACCTGTTTATCATTACTGCTGAACTCCTCTCTGTTATGATCCAAAATGTTGTCACTAATGTTTCTCTCACAGGGTTAAAGCTCTCAAGAGATGGTCCCAGTATCTCTCACTTACTTTTTGCTGATGATACCTTGTGTTTTTGCAAAGCAGGAGTGGAACAGGATCTTAACCATGATCTTGGAGAAATATAGGTTGTTCACTGGACAACAGGTCAATATGGGAAAATCCACCATCATGTTTAGCAAGAATACTCCTACCCCTTTGCAGCAAAGAATTTGTTTGGATCTTCAAGGTATTAAGCTTCATCATTCTAGCAGATATCTTGGCCTTCCTCTGGGGATTGGCAAATCAATACAAGAGGCCTTTGCATTTGTGTTAGAAGCTGTCAGATCAAAGTTATCAAGCTGGAAAAACAAGCTCTTAGCCACTGCTGGGAAAGAAGTCCTCATTAAGGCTGTCTTGAATGCCTTATTAGTGTTCACAATGTCTTGCTTCATCATTCCAAAAACTGTGGTTAAGGAAATATCCAGGCTCTGTGCTGACTTCTGGTGGAGTAAAGGTGAACATGAAGATAGGAGCATCCATTGGAAATCCTGGAACTCTCTTTCCTTACCTAAGTGTGAGGGAGGCATGGGTTTCCAAGATGTGGTGTTGTTTAACAAAGCACTTATATGTAAACAAGTTTGGAGGATCACTACTAAACCCTGAGCTCCTGGTAAGTAGAGTTCTAAAAAGCAGGTATTTTCCCCACTCTTCCATCTTTGAAGCTTCAAAGTCCCAAAACAGCTCTTGGCTTTGGAATAGTTGGGTGTCCATTATCCCAGAATTTGCTAGAGGGTTCAGAACTGAGGTTAGAGATGGCTCATCCACTAGAATTGAAGACCCTTGCAGGGTGCCTGCCCTAAAAGAGAGGAAGCTAAATCTTATGCCAATTGCCAGAGGCGTTCTTGTTTGGGTTAATGAGCTCTTTAACAACTGTCACACTAGTTGGAATGATTGGTTAGCCAAGCAAATCTTTGTGGAAGAGGAAAGCACAACAATTTTAAACATCTCCTCTATTAATCCTGCCAGACCAGACAGAAATTATTGTAGTTTACATAGCAAAGGTTGCTTCACTGTTTCTTCCATGTATGCTGATCTGATAAGCAGGAAACTTCAGAACCTTGATATCCCAGAAAGCAACAGTTGCTCAAAGGAAGCCAAAGCAGCAAGAACTCTGACTTGGAAGCTGAAGATCAACAGCAAGATCAAACACCTACTATGGAAATGCTGCTCTAGGACTCTGCCTGTTAAAACTGCTCTGGGAACAAAGGGTCTTGACATTGATGCCATTTGCCAAAGCTGTGGTGCTGAACCTAAAACTATAGAGCATGTTTTCTTCTACTGCCCAAAGGCTAAAAGGCTATGGGAAACAAGGCCAATTCAATGGAACAATTTACAAGATCCTGGGCTCAACTTCTGTTCCTGGTGGAATCATATTTGCTCAAGCAGAAAATGTGAAGTGGCAGTAGATAGGATCCAACTGACAATCTACATGCTATGGTGGCTCTAGCGTGCGAGGAACTTATGGCTCTTTGAAGGCTCTAACATTCCTATTGGTCAAGTGTTGAGTTGTGCTATTTCTGAATGGAGGGAGTTTTCTTCTTTATGTTAGTTGTTTTTGCTCTTTTGGTTTCTTTGTCTTAGTCTTTTCTCTGTGTGATTGTAACTTTAAGTTAGGCATGTTGCAGTGGCTTAGTGTTTATGTTCTTAGTAATTCCCCCCCCCCCCTCCCCCAGTGTTTGTAGTCCTTTGTTGGGCGTCTAGGCCGCTTGCATGCGAGTCCTCCCATTTTTCAGTTTCTTTGTAGTCGAACTTTGTTCCTTTTTTTCAGTGATATATATCTCCTCTATCGTTTCGAACAAAAAACAAATTCCATGGTTATTATTAGCTTTTGTATTTTGTTTGGAAATGACAACAATCTCGTCACGGAATCATTTCATAGTTATAATTAGCCTTTAGATACACATATATATTAGTGTACGATAACAGTTAAAACACAGTGACAGAATGATTTTGTGGATTCATTTCCATTTTTTTGTTTATGGCACCAGACCTAGATTTTTCGTAAATAAATGTAATTAAAGTATCTCCTTTGTACATGATTTCCCTTTTCTCTCACATCTAGGGCTAACTGGTATTTCCGGCACGGGAATAGTAGTTTGGAAGCCTAGATCGGGGTACGGGGTTACACCAGACTAGACGTGTCCACGGGCCGAACCGGTCCCGGCCCGGCCCGAACTGGCCTGGAATCGTCCTTTTAAGGGCCGGTTCCTTGAACCGGACCCGTAGGGTTGCGGTTCGGTCCCTGTTCATACACTCTTTGTTTTTTACCCGTCGGGCAAGGCCGGGTCGCGGGTGACGTTGCTTTTTTTGGATTTTTAAGGGCTGTACCAGCCCGGAACCGTCCGATACCCGCCGGGTTGGTGAACCGGCAGTTCCGGGCCGATTCTATGAACCGGCCCATAGGTTTTTTCGGGCCGGTTATGGGCCATAA